GGGGGCATTTGAGCTTGAAAAGGATCTCACTTCCGCTACAGCATTGGGCTCACAATGGCTGGTGAACCTTAATTCAGATAAAACTCAATTTTTTTCAGTCAATCGTTATTGCAATAATTTAGACCTTCCTATATTTATGAACGGTAATGTACTCAATGTGTCTCCTCCCCTTCATCTTCTAGGATTAACTCTTACTTCTGATCTTTCTTGGAAACCTTATATCAAATCTGTTGCAAAATTAGCATCTGCTAAAGCCGCTTCTCTTTATCGAGCTCATTACTTTCTTACTCTGGATTCTATTCTCTATCTCTATAAATCTCAAATCCGGCCTTGTATGTAATACTGTTGCCATATCTGTGGTGGATCTTCCAAAGATGCCCTTTCTCTTTTAGACAAAGTGCAAAAATGCATTGTAAACATAGTTGAACCTACTCTTGCAGCTAACCTTCAAACTCTGTCACATTGTCGTAATGTTGCTTCTCTTTCTCTTTTTTACAAATACTATAATGGGCACTGTTCTAAAGAGCTAGCGTCTCTTGTGCCACCTACAAAAATTCATTCCCGTGTTACTCATCATTCAATATAGTCTCATCCTTTTTCTGTTACTGTTCCTACGTGCTCAAAAAACTCTTATTCGTCTAGTTTTTTTCCTCAAACATCAGTTCTTTGGAATTCGCTTCCTTCATCTTGCTTTCCTGATTCATATAATTTGCAATCTTTTAAGTCATCTGTCAACAGTTATCTTGCTCTACAATCTTCATCTTTTCTCTTCTAGTAACTTCTAACACTAATTAGTGGTTGCTTGCAGCCTTATTGGAAGTGAAGATTTAAAATATATATATATATATATATATATATATATATATATATATATATATATTGTTGTTTTAATTATTTGATAATAATCAACTCTTTTTCGATTTGAGAGTGATCAATATAAAGTGAAATAATCACAAAATAGATCAATAAATAAATAAATAAAAAGTTTGATGAGAAAAAACGTTAGGTAAAATAAGGTAAAAATGTTAGGTAACGTAAAAAAGTTGTTTTTTCTCATCTAACCTTTTTTATATATATATATATATATATATATATATATATATATATATATATATATATATATATATATATATATATATATATATATATTTATATTTATATTCTCTATATAATATATATTTATGTATATTTATTTATATATATATATATATATATATATATATATATATATATATATATATATTTATATTTATATTCTCTATATAATATATATTTATGTATATTTATTTATATATATATATATAATATATATATATATATATATATATATATATATATATATATATATATTCTCTAGGAAAAAAAAGCTATTTGTCTTAGGTGACTTTAATATTAACGCCCTAAGTTATGACTATGATATAGAAAGTTAAAACTTTTACAATAATTTGTTTCGATATGGTGTGATCCCTTTAATAAACAGACCAACACAAATGACAAGAAATTCTTCAACATTAATAGACAATATATTAACTAACTTTTTATTGAAAACTCCTCAAAAAAAGGAATAGTTAAAGCACCAATTTCAGATCACATGCCAATTTTCATATCCGCAAATACGTTAAGTAAACAAAAACTAAAACAAAATAAAGTTACATTTACTAAACGCCTCCTATCATTAAACAATTAATATAGGCTGTTCTCCATTAGAATCATTCAATGATGCAAATTTCTTGTTTAATAACTTCCATCACAATTTTTTAAACTTGTATGAAAAACACTTCCCAGAGAAAGAAGTAGTAATTGAAATTAAAAACTTAAATTCACCATGGTTTAGTATAAGTTTTAGAAAAATCTTCGTAGCGAAAACATAGACTGTACGATAGATATCTGATAATTAAGTGCATATAGACCAAGGCAGAATATAAAAATTATAGGACTTCGAGAAAATCAAACGAACTGCAAAATCAAACTATTATAAAAAGCAATTTGAAAAGTGTCAATTAAATTTTAGGGTAACTTGGCAAGTACTAAATGAAATAATTGGAAAACCGAAAATCAATAAATCTTTCTTTCCAAAAATCTTACATATTAAAAATAAAACTATTGCCAATGAAAACAAAATAGCAAATGAATTTATTAATTTTTTTGTGAATATAGGACCTAAACTTGCGGCAAAAATTCTAAATGTAAATAAATCATTTAAGGAATACCTTCATTACAATAAAAATCAATTTAAAAATAAGAACTTAACCTTTAAAGAATACGAAACAGCTTTTAAAAGCTTGAAACGTAATAAGTCTTCTGGAGTTGATGGTATAAGCAGCAACATTGTTATTAACTGTTATAATGAGTTAAAAGTGCCTTTATTTAAAGTTTTAAACGTCCTCTAAAAGAGGGTATCTTTCTTAATTATGAATATTTTTATCTTAATTATGAATATTTTTACATTATACAAGATAAACATTTATAAAATTCTATGTCTCATGTACAAAAGTAAATTTCAACAATGCCCCTCAATTTTTAATATTTATGAAATAAAACCTAACATTAAACATACTTTACGCACAACAGACTTAATTGAACCATTATGCAAAATCTAACAAGAACAATTTAAAATAACATATCGTGCTCCGCATATCTGAAATAAAATCTTAGCAAAATATAGTAATTTACCACGTTTAAATAATATAAAATGCGTTCAAAAACTAATAAAAAAGAATATTTCAAAGTATTCAAATCTTATCAATGATTTCTTTTAAACTACTTTGTTTGTTTTTTTTGTTTTTGTTTTTTTTTTTGTTTTGTTTTGTTTTTACACTGAAAAGTTTTTTGGTTTTAATACTATTTACCTTAGTTAATTAAATTTTGCTTTTAACATAATTATAGAAATTTAATATTGTAAAAACATAATTATTACAACGGTTCTTGATGATAAGACTTAATGGTCTTTTGCAAGTTTACCGCGTTTTTATTTATTTTTGTATAACTAACTCTTATTATTTTGTCTTTGATTTTTTATATGGTTTATTTTTGAAAGAATAAGAGTATTTTGTATTATATTACAGAATTTAATTTTTTTTTTTTTTTTTTTTTTTTTTTTGATTTCATAAATATTCATTAACAATGTATATATACATGATCGTTATTAAGAAATAAAAGAATGCGGGAACTTGTAGAAGACCATAAGGTCTTGTCATTGAGAACCGCTAAAAAATTTACGTGTTAATATTTCGAATTAATAAAATATTCTTAAAATAAATAAACTTTCAATAGGAATATGTACTTAACATACTTAAAGATAACAAATAATTAAGAATTGAAAACATTAACAAATTTAAAGAAAAAGAAAAAGTTATAAATACATAGATGGTTATACAGTTTTATGATACCTTTAACAAAATAGTTAAACTTTTTGTTAAAGGTTTTGTTATACACTTTTAAAGTACCTTTAACAAAAGTGTTAAACAACTATTTACAAATTTTTCAATTATAAATTTTATTAATGCAGTGTTAAATATAAAGTTAACAAAGAAACAAAAAATTAAAAGAATATAGATATATCATCTAATAAATAAATGATTTTTTTAAGTTTTTGTTTGAAAGAGTGATAGCTAACTTCTTGAGAAAAGTCAAAATTCTTTAAAACTATTTTATTCCAAAGTAATGCTCCTGGAAATGAAATACAGTATTTTCCAAAATTAGTTTGATAAGCTGATTGATGAATGTCATTATCATTTCGTAAAATGTACTTGGTTTTTTCTTTTTTGTTATACAAATTATGAAAAGGAGAAATATTGTTTTTACATTTAAACATAAAGCATATAGCGTTAAAAGTATTAGGCTTATATTTAAAACTTATTTTCAATTAATAAGGGCTTAGAGTAAATCGATCCTTAAAATTAATAAGGCGTGCAACATGTTTCTGTTGACGATAAAGAGGTTCCAGTTTACTTTTATTAGTACTACCCCACACAATGTTCGCATAGTTTATGTGACAATGAATGAGCGAATAATATAGTTTAAGTAATGATTGTTTATTTAAAAAACTCCTTGCTTTGTACAAAATTCCTATGCTTTTTGATATTTTACTACTCAAATTTTTTATGTGACTTTTCCATGACAAATTTTCATCAATATAAATACCAAGAAAGTTTGTAACTGTTACTTTTTTTATAAGTATACTATCAATAAAAAGCAGTGGCATCTCATTTGGTATAAGATTTTTTTTTTGTGATTTGGATGGAAAAAATCCATTTTGTTTTATCAATATTAAGAGACAGTTTATTTGTCTTAAACCAATCAGAAACTCTTCCTAGTTCATTATTGATATTCTGAAAAAACAATGTCATATCATTATGAGATAAAAATAAGTTCGTGCCATCTGCAAACATAATCGTCATTAGATTAGAGGCTTTATGGAGATCATTGATGTAAATAAGAAAAAATTGTAACAAAAACAGGAAATTAATACAAAAAAAAATATGTATATATATATATATATATATATATATATATATATATATATATATATATATATATATATATATATATATATATATATATATATATATATAAATATATTTATATAAATATATTTATATAAAACACGTAATAATGGATACTTTTATATTTATATATATAGTTTATACACACACATATTTGTGTGAGTGTGTGTGTGTATAAACTATGTTGTTTTATATAAATAAAATTTACGAATGTCTTGTTATCTTAAAATTGCATTTTTATTTTCTTTCTTATTTATTATTTTAGTGTTTTAGATATTTTATTAGAAAAATTTAATTAAATAGCGCAAGTATTTATATATTAGTATTTATAGTTAAACATATAATTGAACAAAATATGCTTATCAGAAAAATATAATTTTAGACATAATTATAAAAGAATATAATGCAAGTAACTTATGCCTAAAATATTTTATGATTAGAACAAGATATATTCATGATTTTATTAGGAATTTTGTAAATTTATTATTTGTTTAGTGCCTTCACATTCACTTCCTGGCAACAGTAAGTTTGTTCTACTATATTAAAACTTTTGTTTGTTCTAAACATGAAGTTTTACTTATGAGCTTTTATAATTTTTATAAGAATTTTATTAGTTTTATATCTATTTATACAAATCGAAATAGACGCCAGTTTTTTGACATTTTCCGGCAATTGTCCGATAAAAAACATCATCATTGTTTGCATTTATCTTAAAACTATTCTAATTGTTCTAAAAATATTAATTAACTCAGTTTAGTAAATAAACTTCAGTTATTGAACTTTTTATTAGTTTTTTTTTTTTAATGAAAATGAAGTTTTAATGAAAATGAAGTTTTAATGAAAATGAAGTTTTAATGAAAATGAACATACAGTTGTATTATAGTTATGTCATTTTTTTGTTCTAATTAATTTTAAATGACGCTACAGGATTTTTGTTTTTGTCATTTTTGTTTAAGAGCTATTTATTAATAATTAAATTTATGTTTTTGCATTTATTTAATTTTTTTTATTTTGTTTTTGGATTTTTTTAAGTTTCATGTTTTATACTCTTTTTGCTCATTTTTCATTCTCGCTTGAAAGAATTAGTAAACCTTGAGCTCCTTGTTTGTAAACGCTTTGTAGCATCATTTTGGGGAATAATTATAATGCTAGTTCTGGTTAAGTGTTTGTCGCTAAATCTTATTTAAACTAATTGTCGCTAATTTATTTAAACTCGTTATGATGACGAGAGTCAATTACAGATTTTGGAATTAAATTCTATTGGATGACTACTTTGTTAAGGAAAAAACTAGGTTTTGCAAAGATGGCTCACATTTTATTATTGAAGCCACATGCATTGAGTAACTCCTTATAGAGACGCTGAGAGTGTCTTTTAGTTGTTCGAACAGTTGTTTGGCTAGTTAGTAGGTTAAGCTAACAAATTTTTTTAAGCTAAACTTGAAGTTAATTTTTAAGTTTTAGGTTAAATCACCTCAATTGCGCCTTCTATTAAGTGAGCTGAGAAAATGATGTGATAATCTGTCTTTACTGGATTAGGTTCAGAGAAGCACAATTGCTTTGGTAGTTCAGTTTTGAAATTTTTCAAGTTATTTGACGTTGTGTGCAGAAAAAGAATTTTAAACAGGAGCAGCATCTTCAGATGGTTTCTGACCAGGAATGTGTAGAGTCTCTTCCAGACTTGCGCGTTTTTACATATATAAGCTTTATTTAATTGACCGAGAACATAGTTAGCTTTTAAAAACATAATTTTGACACGCATGTCCCATTTAATATTGTGTGAAATAAAAAAGCCAAGATTTCTTAAATTCAAAGAGAAATTGAGAAGCTTTATCCTTTTTTGAGTCGATATAACGGTGGTTGGGGTATTTATTTTTTTTGAACTGTAAGATAAAACATGCTTTGCAGTTAAGACGCATGCATTAAATTTTAGTTTAAGATGTGATTTGATTAATATCATTGTCCCGCATAATTAGGCTGTCAGGGGTTGATTTTGTAAAAATAAATTTGCTGTTATCAGGATATTATTTCAGTGGATTGCTAACTAGGTCTGTAACGTCATCGATGTAAAAGACGAATAAAGACAGTCCTAGAACTGATCCTTGTGGGACACCAATAATAACTTGTAAACAATTTGAAGTAGCGAAACTCATTACAAATTGTTGCATTCTATTATAAATCCAATTAAGCAGCATAAAAAAGAAGTCAAAAATTTTGTGAAGCATAAAATTTGTGTAAAACACTTTTTCATAATCTAGATATAGAGATTCTACACCATACCTCTTTCCGTTGAATATAGTATCTGATTGACTGTGTCCAATAAATTTGTAATGCATAATTTATTTGGAGCAAATTGGTGCAGATTTTGAGATAAAAGATTATTAGAGGATAGAAACTCGGTTAAACAATATTTTACAACACGCTCTAGGAGTTTGAAACAGATGAAGTTAAAACTGGGTCTGTAGTTTGTTGCATCAGGTTTAGATCCTTTTTTGTCGAGCGGTGCAATGTTAGCTTCCAGATAAACAGCTGGAACTATACTTTTAGACATTTTTAATAATATATAAGTATTAAATTTTATAAATATATAAGTAATAGGCATGTTCAGAGATAAAAAAAATGTCCTGTTGAGGACGTGTGGATGAAAGACGTCTTTGCCTGCTGGTTTATGCATACTAAGTTTTTGATGTTTTTTGTTATTCATTAGTTTTGTATATTTTTGTTATGTTTTAACTTTTAGATAAAGCATTAGTTTTCTCCATATTAGTACCTGTTTTAGTTGTTTTACTTATGGTTGCTATAGCTGTGTTAAAGATTCAATATAAAAAATTCAAAAAGACTCCTGGTCCTTGCGCTATTGAGTGAGTTTAAAATTAATTTATTAATTGTTGAAAAATGATTTATTACATTTTTAACTTGGAAAAGAAATTTAAAAGTTGTTTTAATTACCCCAATAAAACTACTAACCTTTTTAATATTTTAAAATCAAGTTTGAAAAAGTTCAAAACAATAAAAAATCTTTAAATATAAAAGTTTGTGAATGGTGTTTAAAAGATAATGTGTTAAACTAAATGATTATTTAAAACTAATAACCCTGGTAGAAAAGATATAACATTTTGCAATCAAAAATCAAATATATAGCAAAAAGTTATAAATTTAACCAATATTGAAACAAAATAGAACAAAATAAAAAAGTTAACTTTATCAAGATAAAAAAAAAGATGGAAGTTTTTAGTGATTTTAGTTTAATTTAATCTTCCATATTTTTATTTATAAATTTAAAAATTCACTAAACATGAATATTAATTTGTTATGGAATTGAAATAGATAAGATGCTAAAAAACCCAATTTTTTTGTATCTTACTATTTAATTTTGATATTTTGGTACAAAGTTATAAAGAGGTAAATAAGTCTTAAAAAAAATTTTTTTTTTAATTTGACAAAAAACCCTTTTTTAGATCAAAAGGTCTCAAAATGGTCACTTTGCGGTGCGTCAAATTCAGAAAAAACTACCGGTAGAATGATAACAAAATTTTTACAGTTTGTTTATATTATAATTTTACAGGTATGGGAGTGAACTAGCCTGATTGCATTACTAGATCTAAGATAAATAAAATTCAAGTACCTTGTTTATAAAAAGGCTTCAAATAAAACTTTGAGCTTGGGTAACTCTAGACCGAAAAATATTTTTTCAAATAATGTTCTAAACTAAATTTTATTAAAACTAACAATGATATAAAATATCAAGTGTAAAGCTCAAATCAATTAAAAGTTGATGATGCACCGTCCAAAAATTTTAATTTTAAGTTCAATATAAGCAATAATATATATATGCAATTTAAATAATAAATGTAATAAAAGGATTACCTTTTATTACATTTATTATTTTTTAAACCTTTACCAACTCCTAAAACACGCTTTCTTTGTTGCTTAACAATATCAAGCGATTTCCTTTCCATTGAGATTACTCTATTGACATACTCATTACCCGTTTTATTTGAATCAAAGAACCTGTTTGCATAAAATCCTGGAACGATACCTAAGCCCTTTAAAATTAGAATTCCAGTTGAATCGTCATTAAAATTTATAACTGCTGAAGGTTCATTTAACTCAACAGTACTGAAGATTCATTTAACTCAACTGGTTGTTTGGACATTTTATTTTTATAATCTTTCCATTTAGTGAATCATTGTTATTTTAAGATTTGCCATGAAGACATTTTTTTTAATAAGTTGTTATCAGCTAAACTTAAAAAAAAACAGGCTTTGTTTCTTCGATGACAACAATTGGTATTCCTCACTTATGTTGGTTCTTTGCTGTACCATTTATTTTGTCAGCCTGATTTTTACACTAAGTATCAGGAGTGCATATGCACATCTGGTGCCTTGTTTCAATATCTTTTGCTTCAGAGCAATCAACGAGCACTGCCTCAATTTATTTTTTCAATTGGTAAACAGTAGAACCTGTCGATTGCCAAACTGCAATACAAAAATAGTTTTGTAATATATTTAAAACTTTCTCAGTAAGATGTCCTGCACTTCCTGATGTTTTTCTGTCAGATAAATTCTCTTTATTTTTTGCTTTGAGCTTCCGTAACCACCCTCCAACTCGCTTTTGGATATGTTCAACACATTTTAATTTTTCAACAACTATGCCATTATATGGATCTCTAGCAACATTTTCAGTGTATGACTTAGAGTCTGCATCCCCTATGTATTTTGCATATCAGCGCCTACCATTAGCTTCTGAAGCAACAAAATAATCTACTAAAGCAGCAGCTTTCATAGAACCAGCTGAATCAGTATGGTTTAAGTTGCGTTCATGAGTTGCAATATATTCTTCATATTTATCTGAACATTCTTTCCAAAAGAAAAAATAGATGGTTTAGAAGAATGAATCTCAGCTTATTCTTTTTGTTTTTTGTGTGTTGGTTACCTTTGAATTTCCGTTTAGAAAATGCTTTAATAGGCCAGACATTCTCTGTAACATAGCTCAACTCTTTTTTTTTATTATTCATTATTATTGGAACTATTAAAAAAAAAAGAAAAAAAATAATAACAAAAAGTTATAACTAAGCTCCGTTTTTTTTTTTTTTTTTTGTTCATTAATAATGAATAATACAGTTAAATAACTTATATATTTAATAACTTATATAGTTAAATAACTTATTTAACAAATATATAACAAAGCTCAAGTACATTAAAAAAAAAGATAAAAACAGTACATTTAAACCATGTAACTAACTCAAATAAACGATGACTAAAAATATAAACAAATATTTTTTCACTTGCAGGTTTTCCACTTTTAAAAACTAAAACCTCATGTAACACATCTATTAAATTGATGACTTTTTCCATGAAGTTTTTATTTCTGTAAAACAATTTAATGACTTTAAAGCAAACCACCCATGTGTTTCTACACATATTTTTTGGAGGCTTTCAGTAAATCAAGATTGGTTGCTGTGGGTGTTGCTACAGAAGTTTGAGTTCGGAGTTTAAGAATGTCTTTTTTCAAATAGACAATTAGGTATCATCTGAATTTTTTTTAATTAAACAATAGGCGGTACATAGGTGTTTTCTACATAGCTCAATTGACTTTAAAACATTCACTTTGAAATTTTCAATTTTTACTATTTTTTCACCCAAGTACCACCTTAAATAAAGCTAATGAAGGACTTTTTTTGGCTTTGTGGCACAAAATATGGTCCAAATGTGAAACTTTTTTTATTTTTGTATTTTTAATGCAATTTTTTAATATTATCGGAAATAAAATAAATAATATTGGTTGGAATTAAACAATTTTTAAAAATTGACTACCTTAACTTTATGTATTTGTTAAATAAATTTTAATAATTTTATTGTATTTATTAAATATTTATTACAGATAGTATTTAATACTCTCATAGCAGTTTTCATTCAACTAGATTATAAATCATTAAAAGCCCTAACTAAATTTTTAATTTTTAAATTTATAAATTCTTTAAAATATTGCTTTTTATTGTTGCACTGGTCAACCACAAAAAAAAAATTCAGTTGCTAAACAAACAATACAGTTTATTGTAGTATTTCTCAGCATTTAGGGTAAATTCATATCATTATCAACAACAACAACAAAAAATTCATAAGTATGTCAACCTGAGTCTCAAAAAAGCGTACTTTCATAAAATTTTTAAATATATTTATAATCCCAAAAAATGTTTAAACTTATTTTCATAGCTGCTAATCATGTTTAAATTTAATTTATTAGTTAAGAAATCTTTTTCAATTTAAACTTTAAAAAATAAAGTTACTATCGTAATTGGAAAAGTAATTAAATATATATAATAGTTGCTCTCTTGATTCATTTATACTACCACGTTTATTTTAGTTAAATCGTAAAAAAATTATTTCTTATTTGTTTATAATTTAACTCTCGCAAAAAAAATTTTATTTGTTTATAATTTTAAAATTTCTTATTTGTTTATAATTTAACTTTTGCAAAAAATCTAAAGATTTTATGCGTAAGTTAAGTGTATTTTTTGCGCAACCTAAACTTTACACTTACGCTGCGAAATGTTTGTGAGTATCAAATTACAAGAGTTACAAAAAAAGAAATTTACATAGGTTACCTTAAGTTACGTAAGAATTACAAAAGTTTTGTGAATCCGCACCCTGATCTTTAAAAACATTAAGTACTTTATAAGATAGTGAATTCTACTACTTGTAGAAAGCATGAACCTTAAATTAAAATTTTTTCAACTATTATCTAGGAATTAAGATAAGAAATTAAATTAAATGAGAAATATATCAACAATGTTTAAAGTAACTAAAAGTCTGATATACTATTTTGATATAGATAAAAAAAAAATTGATGCATATACATATGTATATATACATGCATCAATGTAATATATATATATATATATATATATATATATATATATATATATATATATATATATATATATATATATATATATATATATATATATATATATATATATATATATATATATATATATACATATATATATAGATGTTCTACTGGGTGTGATAACTTAGCAGCAGATGAATGGGAGATTTTTCCTGAAGACTTAGTTTTAGACAAGAAAATTGGTGAAGGAGCATTTGGAACAGTTTTTATTGCAAAAATTAGTTCAACAGCTCTCAGTAAAATGAAAAACACAAAACAAAGATCAGACTTTTTAGCCATCAAGGATAATTCTGGCACTAATGTTGCAGTTAAACTTGTAAAAGGTAAATTTATTAGTTCAATTTACAATATTTCCAATAACTTTTAAGGAATAAATTACAGACCAATCAAGTGAGGTTGATGCAAGTTCTCAAATAATATCTGTTTTGAATTCTTTTCATAAGTAACTTAATAATAAAAAGGATTCTTGACCCTAGCAATGACCACTGATACTGCAGACTATAAAGCTCAACTATTTTGGTTCTTTCACTCGTTTACCAATAGTATTTAACTTTAATTTTTTTTCTAGTCAGTTTTTTCCATAAAAACAGATTGCTTATCTTGTCACTGACTCTAGTATACCATTATTTCTAATTCATTCTTTTTTAATCTCAAAATTCTTGACGCATAACATTTTTGTTATTCTTGACGCATAACAACATTTATTTTTACTAATCTTAGGAAGCTATAAAGTTTCATCCTTAGCTCCTTGTTCTCATCTATACAAATCATCTTAAAATCAACTTTATGTCAAATGTTGCATTTTTTGCTTGTTTAAGGTTTATAATAAGTAATGATTAGCATAAATTTTTTAAATAGAAAATATAAAGTAAGTGTAAACAGTCTAAAGTTTCAGAGGAATTCTGATATAACAAATATGAATGTTTTACAAATTCAATTTTTTTTCAAAATTAAAAAAAAAAACATTTCTTGTTACTATAAAGTCCTGAAAGTGTAGTTTTTGAGCAATTTTTAAAATTTGCTTAAGGAGTTTTTCTTCAAGCAATCAAAGTTGTACATTGTTGTCAAATTAGATTATCACTAAAATACAAAATTAAATTTTTTTCGAGTGAAGGTAAACAAAAATTTTTAAGCTAAATTTTTGGCAGGTATTACTTATCAGCTATAGACAGTAAGTAATGTTAAATTAAAATAATTTTTTAAATATAAGAATGTTATTGTATGATTAACTTTATATGGATTATTGTTATTGTTAAATTTTTGTTTATGTATATGCCGTTGAACACTATTTTGTTTATAGATTATGCAGACCAATCAGAAATCAATGATTTTTTTGAAGAAATGAATTTGATGAAAGGAATTGGATACCACAAAAATATTGTAAATTTGATTGGCTGTTCAACAATTAAGAAACCGCTGTGCCTAATTGTTGAGTATATGGAAAATGGTGATCTGTTGAACTTCTTAAGAAAAAAACGAAGCAAAGTAATTTAATGTTTTAATTTAATCTTATTTCTTTATTACTTAAAACTTATAAAAAAAAAAAGCTTAAATAAATAATTAAGTTAATATCCCTCATATATATATATATATATATATATATATATATATATATATATATATATATATATATATATATATATATATGTTTTTTATGCATGTTTGTGTTCTGTCTGAACCTCTGGTGCAGTGTTGACTCAACCGTAAGTTGATTTATGTTTGTTTGTGTTCTGTTTATTCTCTGATGCAGCGTGAGCTCAGTAACTAGCTACTTACCTACAAAACCTACACTCACCTTAGACTCCTGTATTTTGTTAGATGCAGTGTTTTTCCTAATGCACTTCCAAAATGTCATGCCTGGTTTTCTCAAAGTACTGTTGCGGCAAGTAACTTCTTTTAACTACTCCAGGTCAGGTCAGGATAATCAAGATCAATCTTGCTACTGGTATCATGTAACCCAGTACCACCTGCCACAAGCCCTGCTGCCTTGCAGAGTGTTCTCTTCTTAAGCAAAGGCTAGGAGATATAAACTCCGACTCAAAATTCCCCTGTCTTGGGGCTCTTGGTTGAGTCATGGCTAGAGATGGTGTCTCGATAAAAACACTCATCTTGGGCAGATGTTAACTGCATCCAGCTAAACATCCCCTGCCATGGGGCTCTTGGTTGAGTAAAGGCTAGAGATGGTGCGAGACACCATCTCTAGCCTTTACTCAACCAAGATAAAAATACTCATCTTGGGCAGATGTTAACTGCATCCAGCTACTGTCTTGTAGAAGGCCTCCTAGACAAAGACTTTAGGGGTAAGCAGAAAAATTCTGCTAACCAGCTTCGAACCCTTTCTTCATCTATTAGGCTGATGTAGATGTAACCTGTGTTACATTGTTTCCTGCCTAGGATGATGAATGCTGGATCTCCTTGACTCTACTCATAGAATTTTGTTTATGCCTCCTTGATAATGGCTATGCAACTCTTCCTGTTATCTCCATATGAGGGTACAGCTCGAAAACTCAGTTTAATGGTTCTGAGGCCGGCTGGTAGTAAGGTTTCCCCAACTCTGTGGTAGCTCTCAGAGAGGCAGATTCTATCAACAACTGCAAAATATCAGAGTATTAACAGTGCCATGTTGCGCATGGATGGTGTCCCTGTTAATGCTTTTGGTGTGCATTGTCAAGGCCACATAAGGAGCCCTATGTCACGGCTTAGGGTTAATAATGTTTTAATATATCTTTTACAAATATTCGCGGTCTGCGAAGCAACTTTCCGTGAGTTGAGTCTTACCTCCTGCAAAATTTACCAGACTTGCTTGCACTCAGTGAAACAAATTTAAATTCTGCAATTCCTTCTTCAGATGTCAGTGTTGATGGGTACTATCCTTTGATTCGTAAAGATTCCAATAGTCGCATGCTAGGTTTAGGGGTATACATACGCATTAATTCCCCTATTTGTTGTGAAATCAGGTTCAAATCCTTTGACCATTCTTTTATGTGCTTTCGTCTAGCACCTCTTCACTCTATCACCTTTCTCTTTGTTTTTTATCATTCTCCTTTTTCCCATGATTGCACTCTTTTAGATGTTATCTCTGATCAAATTGACCATGCCCTCTCTCTTTAGCCCTCTGCCAATATTGTTGTTGGTGGTGATTTTAATGCCCATCACACTGAATGGCTTGGCTCTAACACCACTGATCCTGCTGGCACTAAAGCCTTTAACTTCTGCGTTTCTCAATCTCTTACTCAGATAGTTAACTTTGTGACTCATTTTCCTGACAACCCTAATCATTTACCTTCACTCCTTTACTTATGTCTTGTCTCTGACCCTAGCTTATGTTCAGTTTCTCCTTTTTCTTCCTTAAGTGGTTCTGACCATGCAATGATCTCTATAAATCTTTCTTCTCATACCGCTTTTTTGGGCTCACCTTATCATCGCACCACCTACTACTACCCTAAAGCTGACTGGGATTCTTTTCGTGATTTTCTTCGTGATGGTCTTTGGGCTGATGTTTTTTCTCTCTCAGCTGATAAATGCGCCTCCTACGTAACCTCCTGGATTCAGGCTGGATTGGAAGCTTTTATTCCTTCTCGTCGGTTTCAAGTCAAGCCTCATTCTACTCCATTGGTTTCTCCTTCTTGTGCGGCTGCTATATCCAATCATAATCATTTTTTTCATCTTTTTCAAAAGAACAACTCTCTTGAGAACAAACGGCTATTTATTACTGCAAGAAATCGATGTAAAAAGGTGCTTTCTGATGCTAAACTCCATTATTCTCAGTTCACTAAATCTCGCATCTTATCACAAAAGTTAGGCTCTAAAGACTTTTGGAAAATCTTCAACAGCATTATTAACAAGGCTAGATCTAACATTCCATCTCTCATTCATGGACTGATCTTATTACCTCTCCCAAGGATAAGGCAGAACTATTTGCAAAGAACTTTTCTTCTAATTCCACTCTTGAATCTTATGGACATTCTCTTCCTTCCATTCCAGTCAAACAGGTTGACCCATTGTTAGACATTCAAATCACTCTGGCTTCTGTTGCTAAAGTCATATCTCAATTAAACTCGTCTACAGCTTGTGGTCCAGACAACATTTCTGTCACAGTCTTGCAGAATTGCTCTCCAGAACTTTCTTCAATTCTCTCTAAACTATTTAACAAGTGTTTGACTGAGTCTTGTTTTCCTGCTTGTTGGAAAATGGCATCTGTGGTTCCAATATTCAAAAACTCTGCAGAAAGTTTTGACCTCTCCAATTATGGTCCGATCAGTCTTTTTTCTGTTATTAGCAAGGTCTTTGAGTCTTTGATTAACAAATTCCTCACATCTCATCTTGAGTCAAATAAACTACTGTCAAACAATCAATACGGTTTTTGATCCTCTCGCTCTACCGCTTGCTAACTGCTGTAACTGAAAGATTTTATTGTGCATTAGATGGAGGCGGTGAGGCTAGGGCTATTGCTCTCGACATATCTAAAGCTTTCGACAAAGTTTGGCAAGCTGGTCTTCTCCATAAGCTTGTTTCATATGGTGTTTCTGCGAAAGTTTTTAAAATTATCAAATCATTTCTTTCTAACCGGTTTATTAAAGTCATCCTTGAAGGCCAACACTCTTCTTTATTTCCAGTATTTTCTGGGGTTCCCCAAGGTTTTATCCTGGGCCCTGTTTTGTTTCTTATCTACATAAACGATCTTCCTGACAACCTTTTATCTAAAGTAGCTCATTTTGCTGATGACTCAACTTTATACTCCTGTCTTGACAAAAAGTCTTCGCTTTTCGATTGCCTAGAACAAGCAGCTGATCTTGAATCCGATCTCACTTCAGTAATAGATTGGGGTTCACAGTGGCTTGTGAATTTCAACTCTAACAAAACCCAGTTGTTTACTGCAAACAACTACCGTAGTATGGTCAACATTCCTATATTAATGAATGGCAATCCTCTTACTGAGTCCTCCTCTTTACATCTTCTTGGATTATCGCTTACTACTGACCTTTCATGGAAACCATATATACAATCGATTGCTAAATTAGCTTCTGCTAAGGTTGCTTCTCTTTATCGTGCTCGCCATTTCCTTACTTCTGATTTCGTTCTCTACCCCTACAAATCTCTTCTAATCGTTTCTGTATGGAATACTGTTGTCATATTTGGGCTGGTTCTTCTAACGATTCACTTTCTCTTCTTGACAAGGTCTAAAAACGCTTTGTAAATGTTGTTGAGCCTCTTTCCCATAATCGTAAAGTTGCATCTCTTTCTCTTTTCTACAAATATTATCTTGGTCACTGCTCTAAGGAGTTATCATCTCTAGTTCCATCAACTAAAATTCATTCTCATTTTACTCGTCATTCAGCTAAGTCTCATTCGTTTACTGTATCTGTCCCTGCATGCTCTAAAAACTTTTATTTATCTAGTTTTTTTCACCGTACTTCAATCCTTTGGAACTCTCTCCCATCTTCATGTTTTCCTGACCACCTTCAACTTTTCAGGTCTTCTGTCAACCGTTTCCTTGCTTTATAACTCTGTTGTTTTTTTTTCCTAGTTACTCCCAACTTAATAGTGATTGCTTGCAGCCTTGTTGGGAGTGAATGCAAATAAAATAAAATATGTATATATATATATATATATATAATATATATATATATATATATATATATATATATATATATATATACATATATATATATAATATATATATGTATATATATATATATATATATATATATTTATATATATGTATATGCATATATAGATATGTATTTATATATACATATATATATATATGTATATATATATATATATATATATATATATATATATATATATATATATATATATTTATGAGTAAATTTTCATAATTAATCTTATTAATTTGTTACTTTGACAGTTTTAGATAAGCATGAAAATGCTCACCATAAATAGTTCAAGTATATTTTTATTTTTTTGTTCTTTTTTATTATTTGGATAGATCCAAAGTTTAAGATACAGAGGAGTGGATCAATAAACAGAAAGTTAAAGCATCAAAGGGCCAAATAGTAGATATGAAAGTTTCATTAAGATCACAAAAAATCACCAACATAGAAAAATGGAGAAAGTTAAAATTTTAGAGACATGTATAAGAAATACTTTAAAATCTTTTAAAACAACATCATATAACATAACAAGCATCATCAAACATCATATATAAATATCATATATTATCAAAGTTTAACTTAATGTGAACTTGCCAACACACTCAATGAAAATTTTAAAAAAACTTTTTTTTTTTTTTAATTTTCTTTAAGGAAAAACATCGTTGTTTATGGAGCTGTTAGAAAACTTATTTTAAAGGCCAGATATCAATATATAAAGTTAATGTGTAGTGGAATATAAAAAGAGAAGTAACAAATAAAAAAATAAAAAATTCTTGTTAAAAGATTCAAGTCTAAAAAGTATAATAACTGTTCTGGTGTATCAAGGTTGTAAATTTGCAGTGTTGATATTTATTTATTTTTTTTATTTTTTTTTTTTTTGTTATGTCTTTACTATCAACAAGGTTGAAACGGCTGTAAGAGAAGTTACTGAGTGAGAAAAACTATTGTCTAAAGTATTTAGAGTTTTATTTGAGTTAAAATTCACCAACCACTAAGAGCCCTATGCTGTAGCATAAGTGAGATCCTTTTTAAGCTAAAAAGCCCCTTCTAAGCAATCACAAAGTGTGGGCTGAAGGTCTTATCCTTGCCCCATTACTTTTTTAAATGTAAATTTAAAAAATTAATGGACCAAAGATAGAACCTTAAGGAGTCCTTGAAGTTACATTTTATGAAGGAGAGTGCTGTCCATTGAGGACAACTTTTATATTACAATTTTTATTTAATTTTAATGATCTACGTGCGTGAACAGCAAACCAACCAACACACCTATATAGAAACACAAAGTAGCAGTTTCAATGAGATTTATAAATAGCTTAAAGCAAACACTAATATAATTTAGATTAAATATGAACTGTTACCCAAACTTCTAATATTAGATTCTAATATTAGGTCAGCAAAAAGTGATTCCAGTTTATTTTTAAAGGTGTTTAGACGTGACAATGGAGATTAGATAAAAGTTCCAGTTAGGTACAACATAAAAAATAATTCTTATTTTTGCACAGTTAGCCCTGCTTGGTGTCAGTTCAGTCAACAAAAAGCAACTGTAGAGGCTTTGTTACATCATTAAATACTAGATGAGCCTCTATGCAGTTTATTATCTAATAGTTAAATATTGACTGCAATAAGTCTTTGAAAGTACTTTAGAAGCTTATAATGTGGCACAAATTTAGTGACTCGTTATTGCGCACTTGCAAAATTTTTGAGTACAACCAAAACTTTTTGCAAAAGATTTGGTTGTACTCAAAAATTCTGCAAGTGTTTTGGTTGTACCAGTTTTTGTGTACTATATACAATTTATGTACAACCAAAACTTTTTTCAAAAGTTTTGGTTGTACATAAGTTGTATATAGTACACAAAAACTGGTAATATTCCAATAATGCAAAGTTCTTTTCAACATACCTAGTGCAGTGTTAAGTTAGGCAACTATATTTGTATTATGGTTTCGTTGGTTGTTATGACCAACTAAAAGCTGAGAATAACAGCTTCAAGTTAGTCTGACAATAAATTTTCTTATTTTTTGGCAAATGTCATATATTTGTATTATATTCCAGTGGTTAACTAGAGTTTACAAGCTGGTTTATATGATTTAAGAATACATCAGTACTTGTTTGATGCACAGCAGAATTTATCTTTCTGCAGGAATCTACTCATGGTTGTAAATCATGAGTAAGTATTGAGTGATGCAATAGCATAGGTTATTGCATACTATTGCATTATATCATTTAGTATGATGCAACAATGCAACAATTTTATTACTTATATTATTATTATTAACATGTTAATCTTATTACTGTTTTTTTTTTTTAATTTCTTTTTGTTTTGCCTTTTTAATTAAAATGTTTAGGCTTGTGTCAAAATCTTTGAAAGTGGTAGTAGGAGGCAGTTTACAACTTCAAGCAACAAATAAAACCTTTTTACTCAAAAAAATCATCCTCGAAGTGGAAAGTATTTCTTATCAATCTAAAATGGAACATTTTGATTAAGCATTTAGGACACACCAGAATTGGACAGCTCTGTGTTATGCTGCACATGAATCGCACAAGATTTTTAGTTGTCAGTTGTGGTGTAAAAAAGACTAAGGGTTTTCGAAAATGAACCTTAAAAATCAAAGATTTTAAAGGTTCATCTTCGAAATATTTATACTTTTTATGAATATATATATATATATATATATATATATTATATATATATATATATATATATATATATATATATATATATATATATATATATATATATATATATATTTTTTTTTTATTAATTATCTTTGCTTCCAACAAGGCTGCAAGCAACCACTAATTAGTGTTGGAAGTTACTGGAAGAGAAAAGATGAAGATTGTAGAGCAAGATAACGATTGACAGACGACTTAAAAGATTGCAAACTATATGAATCAGGAAAGCAAGATGAAGGAAGCGAATTCCAAAGAACTGATGTTCGAAGAAAAAAACTAGACGAATAAGAGTTTTTGGAGCACTTAGGAACAGTAACAGAAAAAGGATGAGACTTAATTGAATGACGAGTAACGCGAGAATGAATTTTAGTAGATGGCACAAGAGACGCTAGCTCTTTAGAGCAGTGCCCATTATAGTATTTGTAGAAAAGAGAAATAGAAGCAACATTACGACGATGTGACAGAGGTTGAAGGTTGGCTGTAAGAGCAGGTCCAACTATGTTTACAATGCGTTTTTGCACCTTGTATAAAAGAAAAAGGGCATTATTAGAAGATCCGCCCCAGATATGGCAACAGTATTCCATACAAGGCCGGATTTGAGATTTATAGAAATAGAGAATAGAATCCAGAGTAAGAAAGTGACGAGCTCGATAAAGAGAAACAACTTTAGCAGATGCTAATTTTGCAACGGATTTGATATAAGGTTTCCAAGAAAGATCAAAAGTAAGAGTTAATCCTAGAAGATGAAGGGTAGGAGACTTATCGAGTACATTACCGTTCATAAATATAGGAAGGTCTAAATTATTGCGATAACGATTGGCTGAAAAAAATTGAGTTTTATCTGAATTAAAGTTCACCAGCCACTGTGAGCCCCATGCTGTAGCAGAAGTGAGATCCTTTTCAATCAGAGGGAGTTGGCTTATCGTGACAAGAATAAATGGTAGTATCATCAGAGAACAATGCCACCTTAGATGTGAAGATATCTGGAAGATTGTTAATGTAAATTAAAAAGAGTATATGGCCAAGGATTGAACCTTGAGGAACCCCTGAGGTTACAGAATAAGAAGAATAGTGCTGTTCATCAAGGACAACTTTTATTCTACTATTTATATCTTAAAAATTAAAAAAAGAATAATATTTAATGTCTACAGGCTACTATAGACATGAAATATTTTTAACTAAGTTACATATTGTTAGTTTAATTATGTTTTCATTATTTTCTTGAACTAACTTTGCATTGCTCTTGAACATGTTGATTTTTAAAACTTTTTCAGCTTTGTTTGTCAAAAAGAGAATCAAGTGTTCGAGAATCGAGCTTTATGTCAAAAAAAGAAAAAAAAAGCTTTATGTACACACAAAGATATCAACAATCTCTAGAGGTAAATTTTTTTCATATTTTTCATATTTCAATTTGAATTCATATCAAATTTATTTTTTAAAGTTTATTATTATTTTCATCATTGCAGTCTAAAAATTTTTGAAATCAATTTATAAAAATATTAGCAATTTACAAAAATGTTATCAAATGTTTTATTGGCACATAAACACTTTATTGTAAATTCAATTTTAAAACAAACAACTATGCTGTTTGCATAATCTATACGTAAAAGTAACCAGCTTGTTTCTCCCCCTTAAAGTGACAAGCTGTGTTCTACTCGTGAAAGTACCCAGCTGTAATCTGCCGCTGAAAGTGACCTTGGGCATTCAGTTAAAATATACAGATGCAGGGTGAAATTTGCTGCCAGTCGAAAGAAATCCTTTGTAAAACTATGACAAATATATTGTCTGAACAACAAGCCATAGAATAGTTTAATTAAGAAACTACTTTAGCAATGGAAGCCGGATTGATTTGGATGACTAACGGTTAGTTAATCTGTTTAACTGAAATGGCAGGAAGGTTATGAGCATTAGATTTGAGAGTCAAATCAGAGGAAAGGTTCTCTTCAATTAGCTCTGCCTTATCCTTAGGAGAGGCAATAAAATCAGATTTATGGATTAGAGATGGAATCTTTTACGTAACTCTGAGTCTCGAGATTTTAAAAAGTTGTTTTCAAATGACGTTTGTTCTCAGGAGACGTTTGTTTCCTAATGAAGTTTGTTTTTGTGAGAAAAATGAAAAAATGATTTTGATTAGATTTATCTTATCATCATAAAAAGGAGAAAACATAGTGAAGAGTTACAAATTAAAACAAACTAGAAGAAAACTTTCATTCTTGTCTGGGTCAAGGAGTTTACTTAAAAAATGCATTTATTAGCATGAAGCAATACAAAAACCCAAGCAATGTCACAAAGAAAATCACAAAAAATCTCAGTCAGCCAGGGGTAGTAGTAAAAAGCTAACTACATCAAGAGGCAACAATTCATCTCTATTATATCAAGTTGAAGTGAAGTTTCATTTTTATAAAAATACTTTGAAATTTCAATCTACCTTAATATATATTGCTTTAATATATCAGATTTAAGATTATCTTATACTCATGTAACTAATTTCTAATAATTTTTATCATTTTTATATTTTGCTAATACGATGGTCATTTGTTAAATGTTGATTGTTATTTTTTTACCTTATTTTTTTAAGACAACATCAAATGACAATTTTTGTTTGTCGTTTATGCCGAATGATATTCCTTTAGAAGAAATTGAAAAAGAAATTGAAATAACGCCTGATGATTTGCTTAGTTTTGCGTGGCAAGTGGTTTCTGGAATGGTAAAGTTATGTTTAGTCGCAATTTTATTATCATTTTTTTATCACTTTTTGGCATCATAACTTTTGCATTTTTAGGAATATCTTTCATGTTCCAAATTGGTTCATCGAGATCTGGCTGCAAGAAATATTTTGGTTGGAACTGGAAGAGTAGTCAAAATTTCTGATTTTGGTCTAACTCGAAAAATTAATGACGAATTAAACTACCTGAGCAAAAAAAATCGTCGTTTACCAGTCAAGTGGATGTCTGTTGAGGCCATATTTGACCAGATGTTTACATCATACAGTGATGTGTAATTTTTTTTAATATATTTTTTTTATTTGTATAGATTTATTTAATATTCAGCTTTGTATCTAATTCATTTAGATAACGCACTTAGATAAGTTGATTAATTGTCATTGACAGGTTTTTCATTGCTGTTTTTATTATTACTTAAATTTTTAGTATTATTATTTATTTATTTTTATTGTTTTAGTTGGGCATTTGGCGTTGTTTTGTTTGAAATCGTTACTTTAGGTAAGTTAAATTTATCTTTTAAGCAAACAAATTTAAAAGAAGGTTTTTGTTAAATTCAATTTTTGAATATTTAAATTACAGGAGGTACACCTTATCCTACTATAAGTAACCGTGAACTTCTCTCTCTTTTAAAATCTGGATATAGAATGGACAAACCTGAAAATTGTTCTGAAGAAATGTAATTTATTTTAATATTCTGCAATATTTTTTATGCTACAAAAATTTATTTAAATCTATTTTGCTTTACAAAATATAATACAGTATCATGTTGTATGAAATATTAGGTACAATATTATGTTGCAGTGTTGGAATGAGGATCCACTACAACGTCCTACTTTTACAACACTACGTGAGCATTTTGATGGAATAATATCTCATGGTGATAGTTATTTCAATTTTGAAATAGACTCAAATACATATCACCATGCCGCCTCGTTTAAAAGTATCCCGTTTGAAACACACTATGACACAGTTGTAGAGGATATCTTTCAAAAACCTGTTCTATTGGAGCAAACTAATGAAATTAATATAAGCAAAAATGCAGTTTCTCCACTTGAAAGCAGACCTGCAAATCCAGAATCTGCAAAATCTCAAGTAAAATCGATTTCATCAACATTTGATGAAACAACTGAGTGTTAAAAACACTTTAAAAACAATAAGTAACAAGTTTAAGTAACAAGCGTTGTTTTTTTAAATGATTTTATAAATCAATAAGTATAAAACATTTTTGTTGCAGTTATTTATTTATTTTGTTTTACTTCAAATTTTTAAAAATACTCTTATGCGTGTAAACCATAATAGGCTCATAAAAATAACCAAAGTTCCACAGGTGGTACATATAAACTAAATCATGACGTATTTGCAAATGTTTTTTTTTTTTGTACAGGAATTATAAGAAATAAATATGCAAATAATATTTTAATAGAAAATAGTTATAAAGATAGTTTGTAAAAAACTAAAAGTTAGAAATATTTAAACAACATATGCGAAATTTCTATAGTTCTATCAAAAGTAAACATTAATAATTTTTGTTTTAATTAATAACTTTAGTTTTTAATAATGTGTACAACCTTTAATAATTTTTGTTTTAATTAAAAACTTTAGTTTTTAATAATGTGTACAACCTTTGCACTAATTAATTTGAAAATTTTTTATACTGTTTATAAGATTTCTAAACACACCTATGAAATACCGTTCTATGTTTGTTGTATAGAGGTTTTAAGTTCTTGTATCTTATTATACTATCAAGAACTTCCATATAGAGTTCCTTCCAATATTCCGCACATACTTTTAATAGGTTCCAAGTAGGGGGATTGTGATGGCCAATCTAAAACATGTATATATTTTTTTTTTTTTAGAACCATTTTAACACTTCGTGCTTGTGAGTCGCCGCATTATCTAATTAGAAAATCAGATACCCAGTAGATAATTTTTCACTAAACTCGATTAAAACATCCTCTAAAAAATCTTCGTAATTTTTTGCATTCATTTTTTTTGTAATAAAACATATCAGAACTTTGCTGTGAAAACAAAACGCAGCCCGCACCATAATTGTCCTTCCTCTTAAATTAAAACCCATATCATTGCTATCTTTTTTTACAAATCATGCCTATAATACCTATACCCATCTAAGTTAACCTTTTTATTGGAAAAATTAAATTTTTTTGTTCTGATTCTGATGTCATGTGGTCTTTACCAAATTCAAATCTTACACCCTTAATTGTTTTATATAATGGTGGTTTTGTAATAATTTTTTTCCACTGGAAACGTCCTGATTTGAACAAAATTTGTTGGACACGTCTTGTGGTTACAGGTAATTCCAGTTCAGTCTTTATTTGGCTTTTCGTTCTCTGGATAACACCAAACTCAAAGTGGAAGAATGTTGTCTTTCGGTTATTTTTTTATTTCCACCTAAAGGTTTATTTTTGTTTTTATTTTTACTTAAGTTCATAAATTTATTCACTGCATGGTGAGACATTTTGATTTTTTTTGCAATTTGTTGATCGGACACAACCATATCTTTTTAAGCAACAATTTTTGCTTTTTTTCTTTCTTAATTAACACCTATCCGTGCTGCATTTTAATATTTAAATAACAAATCTTAACTAAAAATAGACAAAACTTTTCATTCGGGTTACAATTTTTCTGAAAAATGTGTTTAAGTGGGTCATTATAAGTAAAGTGGTTTTCCCTTAACTAAATGCTTGCCTGAGAACTGACATTTGATTTAAATGTAATCAATTTAATCAAATTAAATAAAGGTTCTTATTCTTGAAAGCCACTTAATATTGGTGTGTAACTCAGTTTGGACTTGACTTCATACATATAGGCTGTCTTGGAGTTATGTGAAGAATCTTTTCATATTGGAAAGGAAAAGATATTGGTCCTCTAAATGTTCGAATCAGTTCGCAAAACGTTTCTAAATTGTCTAAAAAAAAATTCAATTCAATATATTCTGCAATAAGTCGTAAAATTTCAAGGACAAAAGACAAGGACAAGGACAAACATTACAAATACTAATCTAAAGTAAACATTACAATAAAAGTGATCATAATAACAATAATAATAACAATAATAATAGTAATGATAATAATTATAGAAATAATATTAACAATAATAATAAGATGACGATGAAGAGGAATATTATTAGTAACAATACTAACAATAACAATAAAAATATTAGACGATCAATATTAGATAATAGTGATAATAACAACTATATAGTGTAAGTAGTAAACAAATTTAAGAAAAAAATAAAAAAAAAGCAATAATAATACTTATCAAGTTATAAATAAAAATATAAATTTACTAATAAAGATAGAAGAATATTATTAATATCGATACTATCAATAACCATAAAAATATGAGAACAAAAAGTTAATAATAAAATTAGTAGGTATTAAGAGAGTAGTAATAATAACAACAAAATTTCAGAGGCTTCAGGTAAAATATCTTGCTAAAAAGTAGTTAAAATAATTTTTAACTATTTTTTAGCAAGTTTTTGAAATTAGTAATTGAGTCAATTGATTTTAATGGTAAAGGTAGACTGTTCCATGATTTTACACTTTGGTATTTTGTGGGTTTCAGACCATATTTTACAGAAGAATATTGGTACATGAAGGTTATAGCTATTAGCAGATCGTAGATGATAGCGACAGCTTTCTCTAACATTAAAAAATTTTATAAATGTGCTGGGTAGGCATTTTTGTTTATGATAGAAGACAAATTGACAATTTAATAGTTGAACTAGACCATCAATTTTGAGTTTTTTTTTGAGAATTTTGGATAAAAAATAAAGATGATCGGAGTTAAATTGATAATGCTAAAATATATACTAAATATATATTATTTTTAATGCTTTGTTTTGTAAGTTGGATAATTTTAAAACTTCTTAGGTCCGTATTTGTCCCCAAACTTGACACGCGTACCTATGATGTGATCCAATAATGGCATGGTATATATTGATAAGAGTTTCAAGATTGACATAATGACGAATTTTAGCTAACATCCCGTTTGACCGACATAGTTTTAATGACAAGTCCCTTAGATGATGCAAAAAAGTTAAATTTGAGTCAATTTTGATTCCAAGGTACTTAAGGTACATAACTGGATTGATTTTTTGACCAATAAAATTTAGGTGTTTACTGATTTTAGATTGTTTTGATTTGTTTGATTTGATTGTTTAATTTGATTTGATTGTTTTGATAATTTCAGTTTTACTAATATTCAGAGACAGTTTGTTAGATCGAAGCCACTGAATTAGATTAGATAGATCATGAATAATATATTTGTTTATTTTTTTTAATATGTTAATTAAAAGCAAGTTAGTGTCATCAGAAAAATGCTAGGAATTCGTATATTTTAATGATAAATTAAGGTCGTTAATGAAAAAAAGGAGAAGCAATGGTCCTAATAGAGAGCCTTGAGGTACACCTGTAGTGCATTTTACTAAAGAAGATGTGTTACAGTTAATAGATACAAATTGAAACCTATTATAAAGATATGAGTTAAACGATTGGAGAGATATTTCTCTAATACCATAGTATTCTAGTTTACTTAGAAGAATATAATTACCAACAGTGTCAGATGTTTTCTGTAGATTAACAAATACACCACAGGCAAAAAGCTTTTTGTCAAGAGCTTTTCTGATAACCTCAGTGATTTCAATAAGTGCATGAGTTGTGGAATGCTTACTTCGAAACCCAAATTAATGTTTGTAAAGACATTGATATTTATCTATAAAGTTGTAAAGTTTGTTGTGCATAGCTTTTTCAAAAATTTACTAATGTTTGACAGAAGCGAAACTGGGCGATAGTTAGTGTGGACACTTCTAGAGCTTTTCTTAGAAAGCGGAATAACTTTAATAAAGTGGAATACTTTAAAGACATCTGGAAAAAGTCCATTTTCAAAAACTTTTTTTTTCAGTGACTGGATCTACAAAAAAGGAGTTGTTATTTGGGTTATTTAAATAGTCTGAAAAAATACATTAAGGTGAAACAATTTTTGTTAACAGTGTTTGTTGAGTACTGACAAAGTAATTATTAAATATGTTTAATACAGATTTGCTGTCTGAAATTGTATTGCCATTAAATTTGAGATTAATAGATTTACTGAAAAAGGAAGAAGGTTTGATATTAATAATTTCTTTTATATCTTTCCATGTATTTTTTACATTGTTAAAGTTATTGTTAAAAAAGTTAATGTAATATGATTTTTTAAAAATTTTTAGTAAATTGCAAATGTTATTTCTGTACCACTTAAATTTAATAAAAATATGAATTTTAATACTATGATTTTTTGCTATTATATACTATTTATATAGTTTGTTTTTAATAGATATTTATTTTAGAATTCCATTGGTAATCCAAGGTTTTGATTTAAGTTTAATTTGTTTAGCAGTTAGTTTTTTATAAGGTGCATGTTGATCAAGAGTATTGTTAGAAGTTTTAAAAAAATAGTTCAAGGATTTATTGACATTATTGTAATTTTTAATTTGTATTAGCCAGTCTCCATTAGAGATAACTTGATTAAATATTTTATTATCGAAATTTTGGAAAGTTCGTCTGAATATTACCTCCTTAGTTTTTTGGAGAGAGGGACAAGGAATGCAGATAAACTGCGCCATAAGATCATAAATCGATATTGTAAGATTGCCTGAAACTAAATCAGGAGTTTAGAAATTTAAAAAGATGTTATCAATGAGTGTCTTATATCTAGCAGTTATACGTGTAGGTTGAATTATAGAAGGGAAAAAAGAATAAGAACATAATGTATCAAGATAACAAGAGGTAACTTTAGTTTTATTATTATTTAGCAAGTCCATATTGAAATCACCCATAAGAATAACTTGTTTATTTTCTAAACTAAGCCTCTCAAGCAAGGGATTAAAGTGATCAATAATGAATTTATTAGAGCTCATTGATGGATGTCGATATTTAGTGCAAACAATAATATTTTGTTTCCGGGTATTGACGATTTTAACAAAGGTAGATTCCAGGTATTTAGGAGAATATACTATAAGATCACTAGGAGCAAAATTTAAGTTTGAGCGTAAATATAGAAGAGCACCACCTTTTTTGGCCTTAGTAGGACTATGATCAATAGTAAAACCATTTATATTAACATCAGTTTTACTGGAATCGTTAATATTTAGTCTGGATTCAGAGATACTAATTACTATTGGAGGAGTGGAAAGTGAGCTTGTTAGACTGTGCAGACTGTCAATGTGATAAGTGATCGAAGC